CGGTTGGGTTTGTTTTTATTTAGTGTATTTGATTCCTTATTATTAGGGTATGCATGATTAATTGGGATCATTTGTGTATTGTGTCGCCTGTTCTGAGACCTGAGGATTTTATATTAAATTTAGCCAGAAACGTTTTCTTTAATCTTTTATATGGGTAACTTATGAATTTATCAGCTACTTGAACTGATGTCATTTAACAGCATTTTATGGCTGTGCTTTGTCTCTGTGTACCTCTCTCTCCCTCCCTCCCTCCATCCAATCTCCCTCCCATCTCCCTCCTTCCCTCACCAGCAGCTGCAGGAGGGGCGGCATGCTGCTAGTCTAGAGTTAGTTAATAATTAATAAAGAGAGTTTGGCAGGCAGCCAGGGTGATGGTGCTTCAAGGGTGACTTGGGGACTACTCCAGGGGTGATGGTGCTTCAAGGGTGACTTGGGGACTACTCCAGGGGTGATGGTGCTTCAAGGGTGACTTGGGGACTCCGCCAGGGGTGATGGTGCTTCAAGGGTGACTTGGGGACTACTCCAGGGGTGATGATGCTTCAAGGGTGACTTGGGGACTCCGCCAGGGCTGATGGTGCTTCAAGGGTGACTTGGGGACTACCCCAGAGTGATGGTGCTTCAAGGGTGACTTGGGGACTACCCAAGGGTGATGGTGCTTCAACGGTGACTTGGGGACTTCTCCAGGGGTGATGGTGCTTCAAGGGTGACTTGGGGACTACCCCAGGGAGATGGTGCTTCAAGGGTGACTTGGGGACTACTCCAGGGGTGATGGTGCTTCAAGGGGTGACTTGGGGACTACCCTAGGGTGATGGTGCTTCAAGGGTGACTTGGGGACTACTCCAGGGGTGATGGTGCTTCAAGGGTGACTTGGGGACTACTCCAGGGGTGATGGTGCTTCAAGGGTAACTTGGGGACTACTCCAGGGGTGATGGTGCTTCAAGGGTGATTTGGGGACTACTCCAGGGGTGATGGTGCTTCAAGGGTGACTTGGGGACTACTCCAGGGGTGATGGTGCTTCAAGGGTGACTTGGGGACTACTCCAGGGGTGATGGTGCTTCAAGGGTGACTTGGGGACTACTCCAGGGGTGATGGTGCTTCAAGGGTGACTTGGGGACTACCCCAGGGGTGATGGTGCTTCAAGGGTGACTTGGGGACTACCCCAGGGTGATGGTGGTTCAAGGGTGACTTGGGGACTACCCCAGGGTGATGGTGCTTCAAGGGTGACCTGGGGACTACTCCAGGGGTGATGGTGCTTCAAGGGTGACTTGGGGACTACCCCAGGGGTGATGGTGCTTCAAGGGTGACTTGGGGACTACCCCAGGGGTGATGGTGCTTCAAGGGTGACTTGGGGACTACCCCAGGGTGATGGTGCTTCATGGGTGACTTGGGGACAACGCCAGGGGTGATGATGCTTCAAGGGGGGCAGTGAGAGAGGGAAGGAAGGGGAAGCAAGGGGGCAGAGGGAAGGAGGAAGGAAGGTAGACAGGTAGGTAGGGTGGGAGGGAGGAAGGGAGGGGTGGAGAAAGGTAGGGAGGGAAGGGGAAGGTAGGGTGTGCTATATTTTAGGTAGTTGTTACATATGTTGCGAAGGATATTGTTTCTCTTATGGGAAAGATGTATTAAATGACCTTTCACCTGTCCTCTCTCTCTCTCTCTCTCTCTCTCTCTCTCTCTCTCTCTCTCTCTCTCTCTCTCTCTCTCTCTCTCTCTCTCTCTCTCTCTCTCTCTCTCTCTCTCTCTCTCTCTCTCCCCCACCTACCGTCTCCCATGGTTTAACTAAGAGTGTTCATATGAAATTGCAAGCTAAGAACTTGTATCCTACGCCAGCCTATCTGGAGTCTGTCTGTCTGTCTGACTATCTGTCAGTGTTTCGTGTCGATGCTGTTAAAGGACCGTCCAGTGCCCCCCGTCCGACGTCAGGTATAAAAATAGTTGTTTTTACAATTGCATTTTACACATACCGTTTATTTAATCATGCGAGCAACGTGTTGACAATCTATCGCCAACACGGCTCTTAAACCCCAAATTGCCTGGCCTCGTAAAACAACATATATATTGCGGTTTTAATTAAACTGTTGAAGCTTTGGCTTTTAGATGGGGAGGTTATGAGTTGTGGAAGAGGGGGTGGGGGGGTAGGGGTGTGTTGTGAGGTTATGGCTACTCATAACTCTGGTGTGTTGTGTTGTGGGGTTATGAGAGTGGGGGGGGGTGTGTTTGGGGGATGGGAGAGGGGGGTTGGGTTTTTAATCAGCTATTTGTGCCTGCAGGATCGAGCATTGGCTCTTGGATCATGCTTTTCTAGCCGTCGGTTGTTTACAGTAATGACTCCTGTCCTATTTCCCTATCGTATCTAGATTTATAGTTATGAATAGTGTTTGCTTCTACAACCTGCTCCTGAAGTGCATTCCATTTTCCCACTACTCTCACGCTAAATGAAATCTTCCTAACATCTCTGTGATTCATTTGAGTTTCTAGCTTCCATCCATGTCCCCTCGTTCTGTTGGTATCCATTGTGAACATTTCGTCTATTTCCACTCTGTCAATCACCCTAAGTATTTTATATGTCTGCATCATTTCTCAGCGTTCCCTCTTTTTTTTTTCTCTAGCGTCGTCAGATTGAGTCGCTCTTCATGTCCCGTTCTTTGAAATTCTGAAACGAGATTAGTAGCAAACTTCCGAACCTTTTCCTGTTTCCTTATGTGTTTCTTCAGTTTGGGACTCCATGATGGCGCGGCATACTCTAAGACTGGCCTCACGTAGACAGTGTAAAGCGCCCTAAATGCCTCCTCACTTAGGTTTTTGAATTATGTTCTAACTTTTGCCTGTGCCAGAGTACGCTGCTATCGTGTGTGTATATGTGTGTGTGTATATGTGTGTGTGTATTTAGGATTTGTATATATTATTGTATCTGCCGAATCGAGCTATTAACTCTTGGATTCCGCACTATAACCAATCTATTTTTCCTCTTATATCTACTACATATATTTCTAACACACACACACACACACACACACACACACACACACCCAGAAAGCAGCCCGTAGCAGCTGTCTAACTCCCAGGTACCTATTTACTGCTAGATGAACAGGTGCATCAGGGTGAGATGAAAGAAAGAAACTCTGCCCATTTGTTTTCGCCTTGACCGGGAATCGAACCCGGGCCCTTAAGACTACGACCCCCCCCCCCCCCCGAGCACTGTCCATTCAGCTGCGAGGAAGCTTGTGTGTGTGTGTGTACTCACCTAGTTGTGCTTGCGGGGGTTGAGCTCTGGCTCTTTGGTACCGCCTCTCAACTGTCAATCAACTGGTGTACAGGTTCCTGAGCCTACTGGGCTCTATCATATCTACACTTGAAACTGTGTATGGAGTCAGCCTCCACCACATCACTGCCTAATGCATTCCATTTGTCAACCACTCTGACACTGAAAAATTCTTTCTAAAGTCTCTGTTGCTCATTTGGGCACTCAATTTCCACCTGTGTCCCTTAGTGCGTGTGCCCCTTGTGGTAAATATCATGTCTTTATCTACCCCTATCAATTCCTCTGAGAATCTTGTATGTAGTGATCATGTCCCCTCTAACTCTTCTGTCTCCAAGTGACGTGAGGTTTAATTCCCGTAGTCTCTCCTCGTAACTCATATCCCTCAGTTTGGGTATTATTCTGGTGGCAAACCTATGAACCTTTTCAAGTTTAGTCTTATGTTTGACAAGATATGAACTCCATGCTGGGGCTGCATACTCCAGGATTGGTCTGACATATGTGGTATATAATGTTCTGAAAGATTCCTTACACCAGTTTCTAAAGGCCGTTCTTATGTTAGTCAACTTGGCATATGCCGCTGATGTTATCCTCTTGATATGTGCTGCAGGAGACAGGTCTGGCGTGATATCAACCCCCAAGTCTTTTTCTTTCTCTGACTCCTGAAGAATTTCCTCTCCCAGATGATACCTTGTATCTGGCCTCCTGCTCCCTACACCTATCTTCATTACATTACATTTGGTTGGGTTAAACTCTAACAACCATTTGTCGACCATTCCTTCAGCTTGTCTAGGTCTTCTTGAAGCCTCAAGCAGTCCTCTTCTGTCTTAATCCTTCTCATAATTTTGGCATCGTCCGCAAACATTGAGAGAAATGAATCTATACCCTCCGGGAGATCATTTACATATATCAGAAACAAGATAGGACCGAGTACAGAGCCCTGTGGGACTCCACTGGTGACTTCACGCCAATCGGAGGTCTCACCCCTCACCGTAACTCTCTGCTTCCTATTGCTTAGATACTCCCTTATCCACTGGAGCACCTTACCAGCTACACCTGCCTGTCTCTCCAGCTTATGTACCAGCCTCTTATGCGGTACTGTGTCAAAGGCTTTCCGAAAATCCAAGAAAATGCAGTCCGCCCAGCCCTCTTTTTCTTGCTTAATCTTTGTCACCTGATCGTAGAATTCTATCAAGCCTGTAAGGCAAGATTTACCCTCCCTGAACCCATGTTGGCGATTTGTCACGAAGTCCCTTCTCTCCAGATGTGTTACCAGGTTTTTTCTCACGATCTTCTCCATCACCTTGCATGGTATACAAGTGTGTGTGTGTGTGTGTGTGTGTGTGTGTGTGTGTGTGTGTGTGTGTGTGTGTGTGTGTGTGTGTGTGTGTGTGTGTGTGTGTGTGTGGGCTCTCCTAAATGTGCTTATATAATTATGCTTGCGGAGGTTGAGCTTCGGCTCTTTGGGTCCCGCCTCTCAGCTCTCAACTAACTGGCATACACAGGTTTCCAAGCTTATTGGGCTCTATCATATCTACCCTTGAAACCGTGTATGAAGCCAGCCTCCACCACATCACTGCCTAACGAATCCCATATATTAACTACACTGAATGAAAAATAACTTTAATATATCTGCGACTTATGTATATATGTGTATGCGTGTGTATGTACGTGTGGTGTGCGTATGTGTACGCATATGTATACTGGGGGAATACTGATCTACTGTTCATTCCCCCCTCTATAGTGGACGCAGTGTATGCACTGGCCTGGGCTTTCCACAATCTCCTTCAAGATAAGTGCGGAGACCTGACCCTATGTGAGGCCGCCCTGCCCTCCCCGTCAGGCCAGGAGATGCTACACTACATCAGAAACGTCTCCTTTATCGGTAAGTAACCCGCCGAGACGTTGGCTATCTTGGTTATCTTGCTCGAGACGTTGATTCTAGAAGACACATTCGTTTCTCTTCGCCCAGTCAGTTCCGTCGGCCCCGGTAAGTGCCTTGACCCCTGATATCGTGTTATGGACGGTGTGCTATCGCGTTATCCTGCTTTTTTTTTGGTTATATGTTTCGTCAAGTAAGGAGGCGGCCAATGAGGCGAGAGACGGCGCCTCTACGATGGTAAGTTTTGCTATATCGGTTATAATATTTTGATATCTTTGTTTTGTTATCTTATTCTGCTTCCATATCCTGCTTCCTTTCATCAGGAATGGTTTCTTCATTTTTGATATCCGCCATTTTGATCATGCCATCTTGAACCTATTGTTCTATTAAGATATCATGATCTTCCTATTATATTTTGCTATCTTGATAATACTGTCTATTATAACCTATCTTGATACTACTGTCTCTATTATGCTATCTTGATCCTACTGTCTTTTAACCAGTCTTGATACTACTGTCAATTATGCTATCTTGGTTTTACTGTCTATGATGCTCTCTTCTTCATACATTCCTATTATGCAATCTTGAGCCTAATGTCTGTTATGCTATCTTAATCCTACTTTGTATTATTCTCTCTTGATCCTACTATCTATTCGGCTATCTTGATCCTTTCGTTCTATTATGCATTCTTGATTCAACTGTTTATTACGGTATCTTGATCCAACTGTATATCATACTATCTTGACTATACTGTCTATTATGATATCTTAATCCTACTGTCTATTGTTCTTTCTCGATTCTACTGTCTATTGTTATTTCTTGATCCTACTGTCTATCAAACTATTTTACTACCACTGTCTATTTTGCTATCTTGATACTACTATATATTATATCTTGATCATGCTGTCTATTATGCTATCTTACCCTCTTAAGTACACTTTTCTAGGACAGTTTTTTTTTCACTTTAATTATAATTAGATTTTTGTGTTAATTATGATCGCTCGATTTCTCTGTTCTATCTTGCTATCTTTTTTGTGCTATATTTTGCATTATCCCAAAAAGCCCTATACCACAACACTACACCTGCTTGATACCTGGTTGATACCTGGTTGATACCTGCTTGATACCTGGTTGATACCTGCTTGATACCTGGTTGATGGGGTTCTGGGAGTTCTTCTACTTCTCCCAAGTCCGGCCCGAGGCCAGGCTTGACTTGTGAGAGCTTGGTCCACCAGGCTGTTGCTTGGAGCGGCCCGCAGGCCCTACATATCCACCACAGCCCGGTTGGTCCGGCACTCCTTGAAGAAAACTATCTAGTTTCCTCTTGAAGATGTCCACGGTTGTTCCGGCAATATTTCTTATACTCGCTGGGAGGACGTTGAACAACCGCGGACCTCTGATGTTTATACAGTGTTCTCTGGTTGTGCCTATGGCACCTCTGCTCTTCACTGGATCTATTCTGCATTTTCTTCCATATCGTTCACTCCAGTACGTTGTTATCTTACTAGTGGAATAAGTCCACCAAACAGACTTATTCGTTATTGCTTTCTGCTATCTTCCTAGCGTTTTCTAAAACTGTTTTCTCAAGCTGATTCGTGTTATCTTGACCTTATAACATCAGTGTGTGTGTAATCTCGGCCCAGATCGTCGATAGCATGAAAGCCATCTGTAAGTTATTACATTATCTTGCTGCTTCTCAGTGTTATCTTGTGATTTTTTTTAATTCTTGCTGCTTTTCCTGTTATCTTGGTGCTCTTTCTTTATTTTTGTTTTTATTTTTTGTTATCTTGTTGCTTTTTCTATTAAGTTGCCTATCCGTTATCTTGTTGCTTTTTCTTTTATTTTGTGACTTTTTCTGCTATCATCTTGTTTTGCCATATCTAGCTGTTTTCCTCTTATATAGCTGCTTTCACTGCTATATTTGTACGTTCCCAGTTTCATTACTTTTTTCCTGTTATCTTTGTACTCTTTTCCTGCTATACGAACCTGCTATCTCATTGTGGTTGTATTATTCTGGCTATCCTTCTCTCCCTGTCAGGCCAGCAGATGCTACGATACATCAGAATCGTCAAGTTTATCGGTACGTCTCGCTATCTTGATTACTTTTTGCTATCCTGATTACGTTCCGCTATCTTGATTAATTCCTGATATCATAATTACATTCCTCTGTCTTTGTTAATTTTTGCTATCTTGATTCCGTTCTATTTTTTATTATGTTCTGCTATCTTGATTACATTTCATTATTGTGATTGCGTTTTATTGTCTTGATTATGTTCGTATAACTTGATTACTCTCTGTTATTTATTAATTACGTTTCCTAGCTTTGATTGCGATATCTTGCTCTTATAGATAACAATTCTACTTTGATCCCATTACATTGCTTTTTATTTATACAATATTCTCATGTTTTTTTTGTCCATATTTATATTACTCTAATCTCGTATCTTGTTATCTTATTTTCGTATCTTGTTATCTTAATGTCATCACCATATTTTTATGTTAATTTGTTACATTAATCCTGCTTCAAGTTCCTTAAAATCCGCAACCTGTTATCAAGGCGCTAAGATGTTTACAATCATTTAGTTATCATAATTCAGTGACATGTTATCTTGCTGGGTCTATCCCGGTAGTAGACTGACTACCTTTGATACTACTAAGGTAGCGTCACGATAGCTACCGTGACAGGCTAAAAGCTATTCAACCTTGGGACCTTACTGAATCTACTACGAATTCTGGCGACGGGGAACTGGTGCTCAACCCAAACGGTTCTACAAATAGCTCGCATATGGGTAATGGTGTTCTCTGGCCCTTTAGGGAAATCACAATGACTTGATTAATGTGTGCAAAAGTTGTTTAAAGCAATGTAGGGTTTGAACCAGCGGCCTGGTAGGTATCAGTGCTTACCAAGGGCGTGGTATATATATATATATATATATGCGGAAAATCCACAGAGAAATATGAAATGAGGTGAACGTTTCGGCTTTGTTAAAGCCTTTGTCAACACCAGACTGACTAAGGAGAAGGGAGAAGGGGGGAAGATATATAGGCCGACACCTGACCACCCCATCCCAAGGGTTGGTCAGGTGTAATTAACCAAAACAGGTATAGCTTAGCTTAGAATGGTCAAAGAGGATTAAGCGGTCAGAGAATAAGGATGAAAGATTAAAGAAAAGCCTCATGAACACACTCATGATTCTTTAATCTTTCATCCTTATTCTCTGACCGCTTAATCCTTTTTGACCATTCTAAGCTAAGCTATACCTGTTTTGGTTAATTACACCTGACCAACCCTTGGGATGGGGTGGTCAGGTGTCGGCCTATATATCTTCCCCCCTTCTCCCTTCTCCTTAGTCAGTCTGGTGTTGACAAAGGCTTTAACAAAGCCGAAACGTTCACCTCATTTCATATTTCTCTGTGGATTTTCCGCATAAAATGATCAGTGTTTTGTGATCGTCAATTGCATATATATATATATATATATATATATATATATATATATATATATATATATATATATATATATATATATATATATATATATATATATATATATAGGGGTACCACCACTGGTTTAATTAAAGGGACCCACATCCTCGAAGAAGAAAATAAATAGTGTTCAGAGAAGACCTTGTGGATTCTCACTGAATATTTTAATCGTTTCCTCTCCTACCACCCCTATTATTTTTTTTTTTTTATTTGATTTTATTGCAATGTTACAGTTTACAGAAAACACAGACTTATATAACAATATAACAATCAGTGTATATATTATATATATATATATATAATCAATTATATATATATATATATATATCAATATATATATATAATTGATATATATATATATCATATATCATATATATATCAATTATATATAACAATCAATTATATATATATATATATATATATATATATATATATATATATATATATATATATATATATATATATATATATATATATATATATATATATATTTTATTAAATATGACCGAAAAAGTAAGATTAATAATTCTAACACGAATTTTCTCAATCTTTCGTACATTATGCTTCACTGTTGGAGGTAAATCAAAAATCACTTCTCCAAAATTCATTTTTATTTCTAGTCTGACGCGACACGGGCGCGTTTCGTAAAACTTATTACATTTTCAAAGACTTCACAAATACACAACTGATTAGAACTTGCGTTTCCCTGATTTTATATCTACATTTGAGTGAGGTGGGAAGGGTGATGTGGCATTACATTTGAGTAAGGTGGGAAGGATGATGTGGCATTAGAGGATATTAATAGGGTATTAAAAGTATCAACACAAGACAGAACACGAAACAATGGATATTGAATAGAAGTGTTTGTAGAAAGCCTATTGGTCCATATTTCTTGATGCTTCTATATTGGAGCGGAGTCTTGAGGTGGGTAGAATATAGTTGTGCAATAATTGGCTGTTGATTGCTGGTGTTGACTTCTTGATGTGTAGTGCCTCGCAAACGTCGAGCCGCCTGCTATCGCTGTATCTATCGATGATTTCTGTGTTGTTTACTAGGATTTCTCTGGCGATGGTTTGGTTATGGGAAGAGATTATATGTTCCTTAATGGAGCCCTGTTGTTTATGCATCGTTAAACGCCTAGAAAGAGATGTTGTTGTCTTGCCTATATACTGGGTTTTTTGGAGCTTACAGTCCCCAAGTGGGCATTTGAAGGCATAGACGACGTTAGTCTCTTTTAAAGCGTTCTGTTTCGTGTCTGGAGAGTTTCTCATGAGTAGGCTGGCCGTTTTTCTGGTTTTATAGTAAATCGTCAGTTGTATCCTCTGATTTTTGTCTGTAGGGATAACGTTTCTATTAACAATATCTTTCAGGACCCTTTCCTCTGTTTTATGAGCTGTGGAAAAGAAGTTCCTGTAAAATAGTCTAATAGGGGGTATAGGTGTTGTGTTAGTTGTCTCTTCGGAGGTTGCATGGCTTTTCACTTTCCTTCTTATGATGTCTTCGATGAAACCATTGGAGAAGCCGTTATTGACTAGAACCTGCCTTACCCTACAGAGTTCTTCGTCGACTTGCTTCCATTCTGAGCTGTGGCTGAGAGCACGGTCGACGTATGCGTTAACAACACTCCTCTTGTACCTGTCAGGGCAGTCGCTGTTGGCATTTAGGCACATTCCTATGTTTGTTTCCTTTGTGTAGACTGCAGTGTGGAAACCTCCGCCCTTTTCCATGACTGTTACATCTAGAAAAGGCAGCTTCCCATCCTTTTCCGTCTCATAAGTGAAACGCAGCACGGAACTCTGCTCAAATGCCTCCTTCAGCTCCTGCAGATGTCTGACATCAGGTACCTGTGTAAAAATGTCGTCAACATACCTGCAGTATATGGCCGGTTTCAAGTTCATGTCGACTAAGACTTTTTGCTCGATGGTACCCATGTAGAAGTTTGCAAACAGGACACCTAGGGGAGAACCCATAGCGACCCCATCTACTTGCTTATACATGTGCCCATCCGGGCTCAAGAAGGGTGCCTCTTTAGTACAAGCTTGGAGTAGTTTCCTCAGAATACTTTCTGGCATGTCAAGAGGAGTACAGGCTGGATCACGATACACTCTGTCGGCTATCATTCCGATTGTCTCGTCCACAGGTACGTTGGTAAACAGCGATTCTACGTCCAACGAGGCTCTTATCCCTGTGGCCCGTGCGCCCCGCAGTAAGTCCACAAATTCCTTTGGAGACTTCAGGCTGAAGGCGCAAGGAACATAAGGAGTCAGCAGGCCGTTGAGTCGCTTCGCCAATCTGTACGTGGGTGTGGGTATCTGGCTAATGATTGGCCGAAGTGGGTTTCCAGGCTTGTGCGTCTTGACATTTCCATACGCATATCCAGGTTTATATTCCCCAATGATCTTTGGCAGGTGGAGTCCGGATTTCTTGGCGTTCACAGTTTCGATCAGTTTGTTGACCTTTGCTTTTAATTCGGCTGTAGTGTCCTTCGTTACCCTTTGGAACTTAGTTTGGTCAGAGAGGATGATGTTCATTTTCGCCAGATATTCGTCTTTTTTAAGAATGACATATATTGGCGACTTGTCACCTCTCCTGACAACTATCTCCTTGTTCTCACGAAGGCTTTTAGCTGCCGCTCTAAGCTCGGGGGACAGTATGGTGCTTCTGTAGTTGCCTCGATTCTTTCCTCCTTCTGCAATAAGTTCTGCTTGTAAGGTATCTTTGGTAGTGACCTTCTTTTGTGTCTCGAGGTCGAATATGTCGTCCAACAGAATTTCCAACTCCACTTTCCGGGCCATTTCACTCGGTCTGGACATAACATGACAGTTTATGCCCAGATTTAGGAGAGTGACTTGGTCCTCAGTGAGGTTAATTCCTGCAAGGTTCAGGAAGCCATCTCTTGGTCGTGGAATTGCCATAGGTCCTCCATATAATGTTGTTAGTTTCTTGATAATCCTTGTTTCAGTGCTGAGGTGATGTTGGTCTGTGAGGATGTCGAGGTGTTGTTCAATGCGGGTACGGATACTATGGTCGATGTTGCTATTTCTCCACTCGTTTGTAGCATGAAGTAGTTGCGTTTTTTTGTCTTTGATTTCATTCTCTGCCTTGTATATCTGATATATTTTTATATCTGATATTATAATATCTGTATATTTTCTAGATGTAACAGTCATGGAAAAGGGCGGAGGTTTCCACACTGCAGTCTACACAAAGGAAACAAACATAGGAATGTGCCTAAATGCCAACAGCGACTGCCCTGACAGGTACAAGAGGAGTGTTGTTAACGCATACGTCGACCGTGCTCTCAGCCACAGCTCAGAATGGAAGCAAGTCGACGAAGAACTCTGTAGGGTAAGGCAGGTTCTAGTCAATAACGGCTTCTCCAATGGTTTCATCGAAGACATCATAAGAAGGAAAGTGAAAAGCCATGCAACCTCCGAAGAGACAACTAACACAACACCTATACCCCCTATTAGACTATTTTACAGGAACTTCTTTTCCACAGCTCATAAAACAGAGGAAAGGGTCCTGAAAGATATTGTTAATAGAAACGTTATCCCTACAGACAAAAATCAGAGGATACAACTGACGATTTAC